AGGGAAATGGGTACAAATAGTTTTCAAATATAAATATTTAAAAAATAGGTGTTGACTAACAAACCAACAACAATCACAATGCTGCTAGAATCCACGTATCAAAATAGTCCTATTAATTCATATCTGCAGGTTATCAATAAGACTAAGGGTCTACAGCGAGGCTAACAGTCCTGTGAGGCTGTGAAACCACAGGTCACATGTTCCAGCTTTCACTGTCTGACATAGACTTATACAATTAGACATAAACAATAACTGATAAGATATAATTGTACGCAAGATAATTATAAAAACGTGATTTACTATACATTTCATAATTATCTTTTAAATTATATGTTGGATCCAACCTTACAAAAATGATTTGCATATAGTGTAGGTTGTGGATTATTTACACTCAATGAGGACAACTCTCTTTAATGATTCAAGACAACTTAAAAACAAAATGGTTTGCTGCATCTACCGAAAATAGCTTGCACTGAGTTAAAATATAAAGGTTAATCTGAATAAATTATTTACATTGAGTCAATGTCTCATATGTTGCGCGATCAATTTCTCTTTTGTCATGTTCATACAATGTAATAAAGCTCAAACATGTAATGTCAGCATGCTAACAGGCTCAAAAAGATTGTGTTAACATGTTGATGTTTTGCTGGTATAATGATTACCATGTTCTGTATCTTACCACATTTCCATGGCAATCCTAGTAGCAGCACCAATAGCATAAAAGAGACAACCTCAGTTGGAGAGGAGAAAAACGTAACATTAAGTAACTCAATAAAAGGAGAAAATGTGATGCAGTGTGCTTCCCTATCATGCTATTTAGCTGTGAGACTTTCAAAATGTGAGAAATTGGGTTGAGAAGAGGTGTGAGATGGAAGAAGAGATTACAGCAGTTGTCACTCCAGTCTGTCACCATCCTCCCTGGCACTCCCTGGTCAACATGACAGCAGTCAGAGCCAACAGATGTACACACTTGTTTGTGCCATCTGAGTAAATACATTATGATTACAAACGGCCCTGACAGGCACTCACTGCAGACTGCTCCTCTACTACTGGTGAGTCAATTAAATTATTTAGTGGTATGTTTCTGTTTCTTGGTGAAATGTACTATATGATCAAACCTTTGTCTGGGTGGGAATGTGAAGGATTAAGAGAGACATAGGACCTCTACAAAGGCAAAGAAGAAATGAGAGTGGTGTCCCAGTGCCTTGAAGGTAAAGTCGTTTGTTTGACTTCCCATAATACAGAAACACAGGAATTTGGGAAGCAAACCACCATAGAGCAGAGATAAAGGAACAAAGGAAAACATCACTGGACAGAATCCTCAAGGCAAATAGGCCAGTGAGAGTACACAATGGGAACCTCCAAATAATGAAAGAAAATTGCACCAGATAGGCTTAAGATGCCAAGTAAGTGAGATGTCAGAAGATGAAGGAGAGGATATCAGTTAAAAGACAAAGCAAACCCTTAAAAGTTGTTTGAGAGTGCTGAGAAAGGTAGCAAATATACAATGTATTGGTCTTTACGCATATCGACATTATGAACTGATGGCATCACTAGTGGAAAAGTCAAGGGATCATCAAAAACATTTCAATTAATCTTGATGAATTCATCCACAATATATCTGTTCCAGTTTCCATGGAAATACACTGAACAGCTGATGAGACATTTTGTTAAAATAAAATAAAAGGTCAACCTGATGGTGGATAAAAGCTTATCCATCAAGATGGAGCACGTCTGATATGTCAGACTATTACCTTCCCCAAAACTAAAGGGGATAAGGGAAGTAACAAACATGCACATGTGACACACGCACACACACCATGGCATGTACAGACAGACTGGAAATTGCTGCCCTTAGGCAGTGGCGCCTCCAGACATTTTTCATAAGGGTGAACATCTTGGGATGGCACATAGTCACATTGAAGTCATTTTACTTAGGGGGTGCGGCGAATTTTCCTCTGTCGCCTGTCAGCACAACTTCAATGATGCCGTTTAAAAACACATTAAGGGCGGTGCCGGCCGTGAGCGAACCGAGCAGAGCGACCGGTCGTTCTGTGATTCTCCAGATTATAGGGGGTGCAGCACCCCCAGCACCCCTACTTCCCGCGGCTATGCACCAAAACCAACAATTTAATTGTTGTGAAACTATAGACTATGAAAACAATGGCAAAGAGAATCACCTACTCATATACTTTGGTTTCTTATTTCACATTTTCTGATACTATTGATATGAAGTGAATATAATACGGATAGTTAACATTTAACTTCAAACAACATTTAAAAGAACCTTGTTTTGTCACGGTGTGTGAAGCAGGTAGGACTCAAATGCAGATTAAAGTACAAATTCCTTTATTTCAAGGCTAGGTGAACAACAAAGACAAAACAGAACACTCACCGACGAACTAGACATGACAAAAGACGAACCGACAAAGACAGACAGAAAAACCAGAACTTAAATACACACAAGACTAATCACACAAACAAGACACAGGTGAGGAGGGAGGAGAAAACACAGGGGCCACGTATCACTAGGCCACCAGGGTGGGTGGAGGGGGTCAGGAGGACGGGACTGAGCTGACAGGCCCAGAGGCACAGCAGAGGACCAGGAAGGGATCTCGGGCGGACGGCCCGGCGGCAAGGCAGAGTTCAAAAAGGGGGATTCGGGAGGACGGCCCGGGGGCAAGGCAGAGTCTAAGGTGGGGGACTCGGGCGGCCGAACATGAGGGCGAAGGCAGCGGCAGGAAGAGTCAGGGGGCTGGGCTCGAGGACGAGGGCAGCGGCAGGAAGAGTCAGGGGGCCGGGATCGCGGGCGAAGACCACGGCTCACAGAGGGCCGGGATCGAGAGCGAAGACCGCGGCTCTCAGGGGGCCGGGATCGAGGGCGAAGACCACGGCTCACAGAGGGCCGGGATCGAGGGCGAAGACCGCGGCTCTCAGGGGGCCGGGCTCGAGGGCGAAGACCAGAGAGCTCCGGAGGCCGGGCAGGACCCGGTGTCGGCCGGACAGGAACCGGAGCTGGTGGGACAGGCCTCGGCAGGATCCCCCACGGAAGAGGACCAGGACACGGGATTGGCAGGACCCCCGGCGAGACAGAGGATGGCGGGGCCTCCAATGGAACAGGACAAGGGGTTGGTAGGACCCCCGGCAGAAGAGTAGTCGGCGGGGCCTCCAATGGCACAGGACAAAGGGTTGGCAGGACCCCCGGCAGGAGAGTAGTCGGCGGGGCCTCCAACGGCACATGACAAAGGGTTGGCAGGACCCCCGGCAGGAGAGTAGACGGCGGGACCTCCAACGAGACAGGACAAAGGGTTGGCAGGACCCCCGGCAGGAGAGTAGACGGCGGGACCGCCAACGGGACAGGACAAAGGGTTGGCAGGACCCCTGGCAGGCTAGTAGTCGGCAGGGCCTCCAACGGCACAGGACAAAGGGTTGGCAGGACCCCCGGCAGGAGAGTAGTTGGCGGGACCTCCAACGAGACAGGACAAGGAGCTGGCAGGACCCCCGGCAGAAGAGTAGACGGCGGGACCTCCAACGGGACAGACATACGATTGGTAGGACCCCCGGCAGAGGAGTAGTCGACGGGGCCTCCAACGGGACAGGACATGGAGTTGGCAGGACCCCCAGCGGAACCTCCAACGGACCAGGACATTGGGTAGGGACTTGAGACGTGACTCGAGAGGGGACTCGAGAGGGGAACTAGAGAGGGGACTCGAGAGGGGACTAGAGGAGAGACTAGAGGAGAGACTAAAGGAGGGACTAGAGGAGGAACTAGAGAAGGGAACTCGAGAGGGGACTCGCGAGGGGAACTAGAGGAGGGACTAGAGAGGGGACTAAAGGAGGGACTAAAGGAGGGAACTGGAGAGGGAACTGGAGAGGGAACTCGAGAGGGGACTCGAGAGGGGACTCGGGTAGGAACTTGAGAGGTGACTAGAGAGGGGACTAGAGAGGGGACTCGAGAAGGGACTCGAGAGGGGACCTGAGAGGGAACTGGAGAGGGAACTGGAGAGGAGACTTGAGAGGGGACTCGAGAAGGGACTTGAGAGGAGACTGGAGAGGGGAATCGAGAGGGAACTGGAGAGGGAACTGGAGAGGGAACTGGAGAGGGAACTGGAGAGGGAACTGGAGAGGGGACTCGAGAGGGGACTCGAGAGGGGACCCGAGAGGGAACTCGAGAGGGGACTCGGGTAGGAACTGGAGAGGGGACTCGGGTAGGAACTGGAGAGGGGACTCGGGTAGGAACTGGAGAGGGGACTCGGGTAGGAACTTGAGAGGGGACTCGGGTAGGAACTTGAGAGGGAACTTGAGAGGGAACTTGTGTCGGTCGGTACGCCGACAGGACACGGGGAGCTGGCGTCGTCTGGGGAGCCAGCAGGAGACGAGGTGCTGGAGTCGGCCGGTACGCCGACAAGACTCGGGGAGCTGGCGTCGGCTGGGGAGCCAGCAGGAGACGAGGTGCTGGAGTCGGTCGGTAAACCATAATGTGGTCGGTTCGTACTGTCACGGTGTGTGAAGCAGGTAGGTCCCAAATGCAGATTAAAGTGCAAATTCCTTTATTTCAAGGCTAGGTGAACAACAAAGACAAAACAGAACACTCACCGACGAATTAGTCATGACAAAAGACGAACCGACAAAGACAGACAGAAAAACCAGAACTTAAATACACACAAGACTAATCACACAAACAAGACACAGGTGAGGAGGGAGGAGAAAACACAGGGGCCACAGGTGAACACAATCGGGTAATCAGACACACCAGGGAAACTAACGACAGGGAACCACAGACAAATCCAAACAAGACAAAACACAACGCAGACAGAAAACCAAAAACAGATATAGACAAGACAAAACACCACAAAGACAGATCGTGACATGTTTTGTCTTATGTATACATGTGTTAGGTGATTTATGAATAAGTACTCCCACAGCTCCTGTTACGCTCCTCGTAAAGAGACTCAAAACTTGAACCAGCTATGCAAGAACACTTGGGACGGAGACTTAGGTGAAGTGTCAAAAAGACTGGATTTATTTAAGTCCTCAAAAAACAGGCAGGAGACAAAGTAAACTCTCAAGAGAGTGGGAAGAACGTGGAGCAGGGCTGAGACGGAGGTTGGGCTGGACGTGGCAGGACGGAATGGAATATGGAGTTTCTGGAACAGGCACAAAACAGAACAGGATTAGTATATGAAAAAATCCAACTGGAAGAGTATACAAAAAGACTAGCAATTCTAGTCAGCCGGAACTGGAGTTTACCACTATGAGTATACGAAGAACTGGCGAAGTCTGATGATCGAACCGGAGTTTTAAGCAGCAGCAGGTGAGTAGTGGTAATCAGTGATGATGAGAAACAGGAGCGGAGGTGAGTTGGCGGGAAACGGAAAGTAGGTCAACCACGCCCAGCCAGGAAGACAGACAAACAGAAAAAAGGAGAAGGAGATACTGCAATTCCTCACAGCTCCTTTTCATTAACAACGAACGTATACGACTTACCTTCTAGAAGTCTGGTGGATTTTTGTCAACTCCAGTCCAGTCAGTAGAAAGAAACACATGTTTTGTTGCAACCTGCTGCTATCTGTGCCCGCAAATTTCAGAGTGGTGCGCGAGAGTATCAGAGTGTTACCATGGTAGCAGTGGGAGAGGGAGGGGCTGCAGTATGAGCGTTGGAAGCTCAAATCAAGCGACTCGCTGGCTGTGTATTTGTTGTTAAATATCAGATAAACTACTACGCATACGTGACTGTGTGTGTGGGGTGGCCAGTGGGGGGGGCCAACAAATATATCAGGGTGGCCAAGGCCCCCCCTCCCCTGCTGGTGCCACTGCCCTTAGGTGCTCATCTTGCTAAAAAATGCAAACTGAATAAAGCCTTAAACACTGCAACAACACCAACACTTTTTTGTTAAAAAGCAGTGTTAATATTTGGAGAATATATTCTTTTAAACAAAATCGGTAAGTCATTGGGTTATTTTCGAACGAGTCCTTGGGATGCTACTTAATCCATGCAACCCTCTTTAAATAGTGATAAGAAACCGAACCAAACCTAACCGTTGACCTTTTGCAACCTGTATGCCAAATTGTCTCCTTTAACATAATACTCTTCTAAAAATCTATAGCAGATCACCATGCTGCCCAGAGGATTCCTACTATTTGGGTCATGACCTGTGCATATATTGGTAGGATATGTGCGGCCAAATTGATTTCCCGAGAAAATTAAGCACACTTTAGGGTTCGGTGACAGTTTCTATTTTCATATCATATCATGTCAGGCCGTTGTGTCCTTGGGCAAGACACTTTACCCGCATTTTCTCCTGTGGGTAATGTCCACACTCCACAGTAATGACTCTTACATGTCTGATATGTGAAATGTGTAATTGTAAAGCGCTTTGAGCACCTGTAAAAGCGCTCTAATAAAAAATGTAATGCATTATTATTATTATATCGTCCAATTGTGGTTTTTCAGTATTTGCTTATCACTATGAGGCAGTGTGAGTAGGAGGTGATGGGGGTTGTTACGTCACAGCTTTCCAGGTAAATACCAACACAGTATGGACGACAAAGATAAACTTAATATCTTGTTTTGGGGGATATTATGGGTCTTACTCTGACATACAGCCCCTCTACAAGATAAGTAAAAGATATGTCCCGTTGACATGCAGACCACTAATTTATGAGCACACATTCTGGCTCACAATCCCTCTGATGCTGTCTTATATCATGGCATGTTCTGTTCAACATCATCTTCTTATCTTTAAAAGTATAGTACGTAGCGGGACCGCCCCTAGCTCAAGGAGCGAGAAAGGAAGAGAGAGAGAGAGAGAGGTTGAAAGCACTATAGAGAAAATTAAGAGAAAAGCAGTGTTTGTGAGAAAAAAGAGTGACTCAGAGGAATAAAACGTTGCAATATGATGGTTCATATGGTTTAGAAGAGTGTTCTGACGGATTGTGATATATGGCTGGTTTTGATAAGGCATGGCATTTTAGTGGATACTGGTTGTTTTGGAAACTGGAATACTTTTTGTTGAGGCGGTCAACTTTAAAGTCAGTCATTAAAACATAGAATGGTGGACAAACGGGTTAGTTGTTATCACATACCGCTGCTTTTTCTTGTTGAAGTGCCTGGGCAGCAAAACGGGCCACATGGTTGATGATTGGAGCAAAGTTGGTTGGGCCGTAAAAGCGAATGTGAGGAAGACAGGCAGAGTAAGCCTGTGCAATACCCTCCACACCTAGACGGAGAGAAATACAAAATGTGTTTGAGTTTCAATTAACATTAATGGTTTGAGAAGTGGTGATGGCAGGAGAGAGCAGAGGTGGGGACTCGAGTAACATGACTTGACTCGAGTCAGACTCGAGTCACATATTTTTTGACTTGAGACTTGCTTGACTAACATTGATAAAAGACTTGACTTTGACTTGGTATTCATGACTTGAGACTTGACTTAAGCTTTTGTTTTTAGGATGATTTTTAACATCTGTCCAGGGACTACAGATGAAAAATAGCCTGTTGGCTAACTCTGGCGCATTTACAGAAATGTCAATCAATGTGCACTGTCCCTGTCAAATAAATATATAAATAAATAAATAGATAGATGACTTGAAAGGACTTGACTGTTTAAAATTAAATATTTGCGTTTTGTTTTTGTAGTGAGATATTACGTTTAGTTTTTTCGAAAAACGTGATTATAGCGCCGTGCGCGCAAACCTATAGGCAGTGATGTACCTGAACGCGTTCAATGAACGATCGTTCATGAACGCGTTCATATTTTGGGTGAACGTGAACTGAACGTACTGTATTTCCACTAGATGAACGTAATTGAGAACGTGTTCATTCTCAGCGCTGTATAACGGCGTTCAAAAGTGCGTTCATTCTCAGCACTGTATTATAACGGCGTTCAAAAGGGTGCCAGATTTCATATGCCTTTCAGCTGAAAACCCAGTTAAAACACACCGTAAACAGGCTTCAAAAATAATGCGGAAAACCACCCAATCTGGCAACAGCAAGCTGCCTGTGTACGCGCCTGTCACCCCTGGCTGTCGCACTAAAATATACGTCATCAGACTCCTCACAACAAACAATGTGGAACCGCTGAACCGGCGAGCATTGAATGAATGAATGAATTAGTATGGACCATAGACTGTATATATAAATGGACGTAGGGTCCGTGACATCACCCATAGGATTCTGCAGAGTTGCGGTGAAGCCCTTAGTAGGCGGAGTCGGCCACTAACGGCTCGACAGTGACGCCAGAGTTCAACTCCCGCCTTCTCCAAATAAGGGCAAAGAGGCGGAGCCTGCTGCCACCGAGCTGGAAGTTCCAGAGCTAGCTGAAGCTACCAAGCTAAGCTAACATGCTCCCCATCTGCACGCTGCCGTCGCATTTTACGTTTCTAAGGTAAGCGGACATGAAACTATTCAGCAAAACTATAAATAATAATCTAAGTTATTGAGCTTTTAGCATAATACTTCAGAATCTTAAAACCCCTTAACGTTTGTATGCAATTGTGCTAAATTCAACACTGGAATCAAGCAAATATTAATATGTTTGCATGACATTAGTTATTTATATTTTGATATCACTTAACTATACGTTTAATACATTTAAGTCAAGCTAAGGTACATGTGATGGTAGCTAGTTAGCACTCTTACCTGTGAGGCCTCCTCCAAACAGCATAATAACCAGACTATCATTAAAACTAAGTACCAGTTCTAGATCCTTGACTTTAGACAAACAATTCAAAAGACAAAATGTATTTAAAGACCAATCTTTATTTGAATGTGCCTCTTAACCTGAGATATTAGTTATACAGTAATAGTATTGACAATCTAAAAAAACTGAGCAACTCAACAGTCAACTTTATGTTTCTTATTGTCTAAAGCATTTATTATTTTCATTTTCCCAATCTCATATTCAGTGTGGACGGATTGAGACAGCATGGTGTCCAGAGAGCTGCAGAGACTTCAGGGAGAAACCTCCGTGTGATGGACGTCCTGTCTGTTGGTTTGGAGAGGACTGAGGGTCTTTCCTCTGCGAGGAGGACCAGGGCTGATGAAGGAGCCCATGCTGGGCAAAGCTGATACCAACTGCACAGGCCTAGTCGGTCATTTTATTTGACTAAATGTGTTTAATACATTTAATAGGTTTACACCTTCTGTCCATATGTGCTTTTTATTTAAAACATTTGATTAACTTTTGGTTCACATTTCAATAAATTGTATTTGTATTTGCACTCCTTTTGTCCATTATTCTTACTGAAAATGCTAGATTACACATTCACATCTGACTGAAGATTGGCCCCATTTATTTGTGACGTTGCAAAACAAGGTACATGTTGTGAAGCTCATAAAGTGAGGCAAATAGAAATAATCAGCTGATGGAGTGTAGATGTGGAAATCGCTGCATTCGATCAGCTGACTGTGTTTACAATAAAAGTAGTTTCTTAGTGAATGTCCTGTACTGGTCTTAAAATCTCATAACATCAGCTTTTAATGTTCCTCTTGGATGTTCTTCTTGACCCTCAGAGAAGGAGAAAATGTCCTGTCTTTCAGGCATGTCCTTTCCTAACAAAAATGACAGGAAACATAAAACATATTATTGCAGAACAAGTGTGTTATTTATGAAAGCGGTGTGTTTGTGTGTTTAGGGGCTGTAGATGTAATTATTTTGTAATTGTAATGGTTTTTTTTATTTCAACAATGAGCTACAAAGACAATCAGATTATGAATGAACAGTATGAAGTTCATCAACATTGAAATATATGTTATTATCAAAATAATATTTAACTGTTATCAAAACGTAGTGCAACTGTAGAAGCTTGCTCTGTTGTCTCACTGAAAGAATAACTTTTACCACGTTTTTTACAGACAATATTGAGAGATAAATAGTAGCAGTTCTCACTATGCGTTAAATATCTTTGCCTTCAATACATTAAATTAGAAAGCTGACAAAGTCATATTGCTTGTTATCATCTAAATGTAACTTTTTGCATGGAAAAAACCCTCAACTTAACTGATGTGTAGGTGATCTAGTATTTAGTATTGTTTAATGGAATGTATATCAGTGTATTCAAGTCAATACTTCATTCATTTAAACCAATATCTTTCTTGATTCTTTGTACAGTATGAAAAAAGAGTCTTTGTACCTGTGCTGAAGTTCACTGCTGTGAGGAGTCCAGTTCTGTCTCTCACTCTCTGGTCCAGCCTGTCTGCATCACCTGGACACCTTAAACAAACAGATATATATATATATATATATATATATATATATATATATATATATATATATATATATGTATATGTAAAGTACTATGTGTACAAACAATATAACTGATTCTCTTCTGTTGAACATGTTGGATTGTGTATTGTCCGAGTCAGGGGCCTTTTTATTTTACTGTAACTTTGGAAGTTGTGTTACCAATGCTTACTGTTTATTTGATACCTATTTGGTAATGCAATTAATAAAGACAACAAGGTTTGGGTTCGTTCTTCAGATGACTGTGACGTTAACGTGTAAGCTCAATAATGAACTCCAGCTCAACCAACCATATTGTAATATCTAAGTAATCATCTTGAAATATGACATTAATAATTGTAATATACACACATCTTATTGTGAGGTTGATTTCACATACACTACTTCGACATTAGCTTGTCTACATACTTGAGCATAGCCAATTTAAATTAACCTTAGATGCATACAGTTCTACCTACATAATAAAATATCTCTAAGTTACAAGGATGTAACCTTATTTTATCAACCTCAAACAGAAGCCGTTTGTTCAACAGTATTATCCCACTTAACACTTGTCTATTTCGTTGTAACCTTTATATATACAGTCTATGATTTTAACTTGGAGGCTACGATTACAATCGTTAGCACCGATGTAGCTACCACTAGCTTACATGCTAACCCAAGCCTCACCATTCATTACGTAGCTGATTAAAATCATTAACACATAAATAAAGCACTAGAATTTCACTTACCGCAAAACCGCATTCATGCACCGTCTGTTTTAACCGCAGAGCGAGTCACAATAGTCCGATATATAAGCATGAAGAACAAACAACCACGGCCGGCTACAAGTTGTGTTTGCTGGATGAGCTGAGCAGGCAGAGTCCCTGTAGCTAGCTTCACGGAGCAGCTAGCAGAGAGACAAGAAGCTAACAGCGGCAGGCACTTGACAGGGCCGTCACTCAATGTGACCACGCCCTAATTTATGCACAAACTTTAAGACCTAATATAAATAAAAGGGTCGCGTTAGAAAACAATTCACTCACAGATCCATAATCATGAAGGTGGAATCTAACTATATCGATAATAAAATGTATGGAGCCAGGGGTAGAAACATGTTTTTTTCTGCTGTAAAGTTGGGCATTTTAACATGGGGGTCTATGGAAATTGCTCCTTTCTGCAGCCATCGCCTATCGGCCAATATATGAACTGCAGTGTGTGGCACTTCCGTATTGGCTTCCCGGCTCTACCCCACAGTTTGCCGCTTGGTATGGACGAAGCCGAGAGCAGCTGCAGCAGCACTCGCTCAGAGTCAGACTCTACGGCGTTGGCGTATGAGCATTTAAAAGAGTTTTACGTTAAAGTCAGTACTGACTCAGACGGAAAAAATCTAACGTTTGCCTGTAACCTTAGTTTCATACCTCAGCCTGGTTCCTACCTTGTGTTGTGTTAGTACAGAGTTATGTCGGCACATGTTTATATGTTATATGTTTGCACAATGACTACTTTCACTTTTGGTACTTAGTATATTTAGATTATTATACTTAATAAAGACCATTCAAGCAGCACGTTTTTCCTCATGTTTTTGAAAATATACTGTAGAGATGAAAGCTGCAGCTGCTACTAGTGTGGACTGAATGGGCGGCAGCAAAGCGTTATGGAAATGCCAGTATTCTGATTGCTGTCTGTGGTTCTATATGGGTTGTGGCAATCATTTTGACAAATAATAGCTCGCAGCAACGTATTGAAAAAATAACTATAAACTATAAATTAGTTCATTTTTGAAACCATGAACTTTAGTTAAAACATTTGAATTATGAACTATGAACTGAACTAGTTCATTTTAAAATTTG